CCCCCTTCAGTAACAGGTATCACTCACAATATTAATATTGCAGGTAACTGTATTTGGTAGAAAATAAATAATACACATGGAATTATATGTGGCTGACAGGGCATGATACATGGATAACTAAGAAGATGACAACTTGAGTGTAATAATTAAAAGATGCACGAGTTACAAGAGGTACGAACAAATCACTCACGAGATGAAAGGACGCAGTTTCTCGAGCCTAAATTGTTCAATGAAGAGACACAGATGAAATGAATCAAGACAATAAAAAGGGCAGATTCACGAACCTCCAATTAATGAGGAAGAAGAATCGGAACCGTTACAGAATCTTCATGGCCAGTTACGATCGCCAATTATAATAGTTCATTTAATGTCATTAATTCTCATAATGACTCAGACATAAAAGGAATGAAACGTTATATTTGTAAACCTCTATATAAGGGAAGAGAATTTCACTTGTAAAGGCACGTTCTGATTCTTACTGGAATACAATTACTTTATTTTGTTTTCAATCAATTATTTCCATATTTCTTGTCACGTTTATTTCCTTTCATATAATTGAGAAAGTACGGAATTTCTTGGTTATCAGTAACTCGAGTTCTTCTAAAAATAGGCTTTGACCGAGAATCTTATTTTTTGGTTAAACAAATTGGTTCCGTTGCCGGGAATCTGATAATCTTTTTACTTTCCAAATCTTTCTCTCTCACAACCAAATCATGTCAACTATCAATGACAACAACCAATAGGTAGAAGGAACTCCAGTTCTATTACCTCAGGGATCTCCACGCACTTCTCGAAAAGGAACACCTGAAAGATCTGCTACTCACACGAATGAACAACATGGAGATGAGCAGACCGTTGAGCAGGATGCTGTGAACCAGTTGATCGTTGAGCACGTGAATAATGCTCTCCAAGCTTTCGTGAGGGGACTGTTAACTGTACCACCAACTCTTACCCCAAATAATACTGCAACTATGGAAATTCCACGCTCATGGCTTGCTAATTCAGGAAACGGGGGAACTCCTAATGAGTCACGTGATGGGAGACTAGGTACACCAAATAGACCTGATTTATAAACTTTACTACTAACTTTGCAGAAATAGGTAAAAGAACAAAACGACCGCATCGAGCAAATACCTGGCGTACCACCTGTGATTAACGGAGTGGATATCGACAAATATTCGCATCAACCCTGGAAACCAAGCGCGACTCCATTGCCCATTCCCAAGAAGTTCAAAATGCATGACATCCGAAAATATGATGGAACAATCGATCTACGTAATCATGTCACTGCATTCACCACAGAAGTAAAAGGCAATGATTTAACCAAGCAGGAAGTTGAGTCAGTGTTGGTCAAAAAGTTTGGAGAAATACTCACGAAAGGGGTGTTAACATGGTATTCTCTTTTACCTGAAAATTTTATTGACTCTTTTGCTGAGCTTGCAGATTTATTTGTAAAAGCATACTCGGGGGCTCAAAAAGTTGAAAAAAGAATGGAAGATATCTTCAAAGTGAAGCAAGGAGATACAGAATTGCTCAGAGAATTTGTAGATTGATTCCAGCGTGAAAGAATGATGCTACCAAGAGTACATGATAATTGGGCAACCATGGCATTCGCGAGTAATCTAAACGAAAAAAATTTAGAAGCCACGATGAGGCTCAAAGAAAGCTTACGAGAATTCCCTGCCACAACATAGAATGACGTATATAACAGGTATAGTACCAAGCTACGGATTGAAGAAGACATCGTTGCTCAGTCAAAGGTTGATGAGAGAACAGGATCGAGATAGTCAGAATCTGAAAAGAGGTCCGGTAAAAATAGGTACGAGCCTTATATAGGACCCTTAGGGCGAGACGCACATTCCAAGCCAGAAAATGTACGATCTGACCATAGATTGAGGAACAGAGATTCAGGTTCATCATCATCTAGGTTCAGAAAAGATCGATATGTGCGTGATGGGGATACCAACGCAAATGCAAGGATTGGAGACTATAGTTTCAATATCAGTACTTCTGAGTTGGTAGCTGTTTTAAGGAGTATGGGAGATAAGGTGCGATGGCCAAAGGAAATGAGATCAAACCCAAACAGAAGAAATCCAGATTTTGGTGCGAGTTTCATAATGACCACAGCTATAGAACATCAGATTACAAACTGTTACAAGGTGAGGTAGAATATTTGTTGAAGCAGGGATACTTGTCAGACCTGTTCAGCAAGAAAGGTAAACAATCTTACATGAAAAATATACAAGAACCTCCAAAACCTCCATCTCCAAAGAGAACAGTGAACGTGATAAGCGGGGGAGAAGAAGTCAACGGTGTAACATACACAACTGCGAAAAAGACGGCGAAATTCACAGTAACCCACAGAAAGCGAGTTCGACAAACCTCGGAAGAAGATAGTATACCATTTGATGATGTAGATGAGGATGGCTTAATGATTCCTCACAATGATGCACTAG